CGTTGCAGTTCAGCGCAGGCAGCTGCAGCCCCCGGTGACGGCAGAGCAGGAGCCGCCCGACGGCCTTGGCCATGAGCTCCACCTCGCCGGTGGAGCGGTTGACAGCCTGCCGCTGCTTTTGTTTCAAACAAAGGGAAGAATTAAGCAAACAGGCTCCCCCCACTCCCGCCGCGAGAGAAACGTTGTATCTGAACCAGCTTGTAACCACTCGCGGCTTTGTAACCTCAGGAACAAAGTGAGTAACTTGTATCTCTGAACCCGAACAGGAGCATCTTTCACGTTTTCCCTCACCGTCTGTGTCTCTGGCACGTCTGTAAACGGGGTCACTGGGTTTTGAGCAGTCCTGGAGGGCTTTTGTTGGCAGAGGAGGAGCGACCTGGAGCAGGCAGCCTCCCGCCCTGTCCCCTTGTCCCTGGGCCCTGCAGCCGGCTCTCCCACTGGGAGGGGACGGACCCGAGCCAGGCCCACCCGATTCCAGGGCTCCGTGTCAGCTGGGTGGATGCGGGCAGCTGGGACGGGCTGCAGGGGACGGACCGCCGCTTCCTGTCTCCCTGTGGGAGGGACACGGTTCAGCTCATCATGGCTGGCGTCAGAGCTGAACTCAGGCCTCTCAAAGACGCCCACGTTGTGACCTCATCCGATGTCACCGGGCCCAGGACCCAGGATGGCGTCGGGGACAGAGGAGGCGCTGTGTGTAAGGCTGGCCGTGAGGACACGGTCTCACCGAGGTGCCCGTGGGAGCCGTGTGGGGACAGTGCTGTTGGGGTGGGGCTGGACCCCGAGGTCCTATCACCACACAGCCTGCTCCTTGGGTCCTGCTGCGGGACGGGAGGCAGAAAGGCGGTCACCTCCCAGGGCTGCATTCTAGGGGTGCGTCACCTCGGGGACACGCAGCGGAGCTGGGCAGATGCCGTGGTGGTGACGGCCAGGGCGGGGAGTGGCCCTCACACAGCTGGTGACGTCACCGCAGGCGCCGTGCGGGCCGCGTCGTGCGTGGAGAGTCCGACCTCGGAGGCTTCTGTGCTGCTCCCGCCCCTCGCCGTCGCTGGGGCCCTGCTTCGTCTTTTCAGGGAGGACGAACACTTCTGGCGGACAGATGTCTGTGACACTCATCTGTCCCCTCTCTCGTTCCCGCTCGGCGCGTGTGGGGCGGATGTCAGGCCAGCGTCACCTTGGGCAGCAAGACACCTGTCCTTGGACGCCCCCCCCACGCGAGGCCCTCGGAGGGCCACCATCCCTTCGGGGCGCGGCCGAGGTCGCTGTCCTTCCTGAGGAGCACGCCTTCCAGGTCCCGAGGCTCATGTTCGGTGCCATTGTCCCCCGGGTACCTCAGAGAACGTTTTCTGCCACACGTCGTGAAGCCTTGTTTGTTTTAAAGCACTTTCCGTCACGGTCCGTGGTGGGCGGTTCCGAGCCGGGGTGAGCCTTTCCCCAGTCGTCGTCCGCAGGGCGTTTAGTGGGCGTTGTCCCCCGTCACGTCTCTGCCAAACGTGAATTTAAGGAAATAATATCATCTTCTTGGATGTGGAAAATGTTCTGGAAATTTTTGATTTTCTATTAAAGAGACTGTGCTCCAACATGCGTTCACCAGCGTGTTTAGCGCGTGAGCCGACGACTTAATGGAGCCTGAAATATGTTCTCGGGTGTGCACTGTCCTGTCGTTTGGGACACCCTGGGAGCTGGTCAGAAAGTGCCCAGAAGCCGCAGCCAGCGGGGACGGGGGCCTCTCGCCCACGTGTGGGGGTCACTCGGTGAGGCCGACGTTTGAGTCCGTACGACATCTTTCTCTCTAACGTCTAAGGAGTGGGGGTTTTTATATTTTCATCAAGCATGGACGCCGTGCCTGGTGCCTGGTGCCCGCCCTCGGTCCTGGGCCGCCTCGCCACGTCTCTGCCTCCCCCTGCAGGACGCCGCGTGTCCCTGCGTGGGGCCGGACGCAGCGGAGCAGAGGGTCGGGCCAGAGCGCGGTGTGTGACGGGGCTGGAGCCCGGAGCCGCCTGACGGGCGGAGGACGGGCAGGCTCTTTGCTGCGTGGCTGCCCGCCCCGTCTCCGGAGTCACTTCGAGCCTTTCTCTCCCGTGCTCGTGTCTCCCGGCAGAACCTCTGCAGACCCCGAGGGTCCCCGTGGGACCTGCGGGACGTGGCGCGGCTCGGTGAGCCTCGCAGGGAAGCGGCCTCGCTCCTTGGGCCGGATGAGCCCACATGACGGAGCTCGACTCAGGACAGGTGCCGGGGTGCTGGCCTCGGTGCCGCCGTGGCCTTGGGGGCTTCTTAGCTCCAGACGCCCCTGCCCCGCCCACTGGGCTTGGCTGTCACCGTCACCGGAGCGCTGGGGCCTCGTGGGGGCACTGCTCAGCCTCACGGGCAGAGCCGGCACACGGCCGCGTGGGGCGCTGCCGTGTGCGTGTCGCCTGGGGGAGCAGGGCCGGACTGGGAGGCCTGCGAACGGGCCTGGCCTGCACAGGGACTGGGGCGCGGGCGTATTTCCCAGGTGGCGGGAAGGGGTGAACCGCGAGGGGCGGGAACCCCGAGGACTTGGCAAAGCCGGCGAGCACTGAAATCGCGGGGCTCCCCTTCCCCTTCCGTCTCCGTCACCCGGACGCCGATGGCACTGAGGTGACGCCTCCCCGTCCCCCGGTGGCCGCATCAGGTCCGCGTCCTGTCACGGTGACCTCCTGTTCTGGGGTCGCAGCGGGGGTGACCGGAGCACTGTGCCTTGGGCCCTTCGCCCGTTTCCTCTCGACACGTACGAACCGCAGGTCGACGAAGAGGATTTTACTGCCATTCACAACATTTTCATTCCAGTTATGTGTTTTTTTCCTGAAAAAAAAAGTTTTCAAGAAAGTCGTTCTCCAGCGCGGCCCCCAAGCTTGTGAGACTCTCAGGCCTGGGGGTCCGAGGCGGAGCTGGGGAGCGACCGCAGACGCACACGGAGCGTCC